CCTGATGTTTCTAGCAGCCATGTCCACAATAGCCAAACTGTGGAAGGAGCCTCGGTGTCCATCGAAAGATGAATGGATAAAGAAGATGTGGTCTATGTATAACAATGGAATATTCCTCAGCCATTAGAAACGACAAATATTCACCATTTGCTTCGACGTGGATGGAACTGGAGGGTATTATGCTGAGTGAAGTAAGTCAATCAGAGAAGGACGTACATTATATGGTCTCATTAATTTGGGGAATATAAAAAAAAGTGAAAGGGAATAAAGGGGAAAGGAGAAAAAATGAGTGGGAAGTATCAGAGAGGGAGACAGAACATGAGAGACTCCTAACTCTGGGAAACGAACTAGGGGTGGTGGAAGGGGAGGAGGGCGGGGGGTGGGGGTGACCGGGTGACAGGTAGTGAGGTGGGCACTTGACGGGATGGGCACTGGGTGTTATGCTATATGTTGGCAAATTGAACACCAATAAAAAATAAATTTATATATAAAAAAAAAGAATCTAGTTTCTGTCGTAGCATTGTATGCCCTTGGACAAATAATTCGACTCCTTTGAACCCCAGGGTCTTCATCTTCAAGATAATGATGCCCCTGTTAGGGTCACTGAGAGGATGAAATGAGAAGATTACCATGGGCTAAGAACTGGAAGCTTTAACAGTGAAGATGGTTAGTGGGACCAGGATGCTGCGCAGGGTGCAAGAGGCTTTGCCAGGTCAGAAAAAAATTTATTAGCAAACCCAGAGGGCTTGTTCCTTCAGCAGCAGTGCAGACTATTTGGAGCTTTCTTACCTGGGAGCTAGTTGCCCTCATGAATGGATATGATATTGCCAAAGAAAACCCAAAAGATTTCCAACCCAACATGACCCAGCCCATAGAAAGCTCAGCCACCAGGGTTTTGTCTTCCTTTCTCATGTACTGTGAGGTGAAATATCTGTCTTCATCATGCAGAAAGAAAAGCAATGCTTCACGAGATAATAAAACATCTGCTGTGATAGTAAGAGAAAACCTTGAAAAAAAATACTTCCCAGACCCTGATGCTATATTCGACTCACAAGGAGAAATCATCATCAATCATGTATTATTTTGCCCATTTCACTTACTGATAGTTTTATGGATCCAAATTTCTCAATAGCATCCTCTGGCTGTTAGCCAGACCCCTTATCTTCCCAGAGAGTGTTCTCCTGAGAAATTCCTGAGATGTGTACTGGAATAGCCTGCACAACTCCTCAGTACCAACCAACCTCATTTCCTTGGCCCAAGGGCATGCTACTTGATGTGTATACTTTTTCATTTTTCCTTCCAGCCATCTTTGTCCCCTTGCCTTTTCAGCCACCTCAGGAGCATCCTGGCCTTGGAGACTTTGCTTTTCCCACACAGGTCCACATGGCCAACCCCCTCATCTCCTGGGGTTTGCTCACACCTGACTTCTCAAGGAGCCTGCCCCTACCCTGACAGGCTCTTGAACCCTGCATGTCTCTTCCTCCTGCTCTAGAATGGAAGTTCCATGAGGGCAGGGGTCTTTGTGTTTGTTCCCTGATGATTCCCTAAGTGCCCAGCACACTGCTCAGCACATAGTGAATGCTCGATAAGTGTTTGTTAAGTGAATAAAAGGTAGTAACCAGTTTTAGAAGACCAAAGAATTTTAGGGATGGAAGAAACCTTAGAAGTAATATGATTCAGAGGTTTAAAAAAAATTTTTTTAGCAGGGTCAATTGAAGAACAATCAAGATATTTATCAGCAGAGTTTGTTTTCTATTCAAGATTAAATCCCATGGGGGCAATAATACACTTTCTTAAACTTTAGCCACTTTATTACATAAAAGAATGTTTATGAGAAATTATGAACAGAGTTGAGAAGTGGCAAACAGAGGCAGCTCTCTAATCTGCATCCTGGAAATGAAATCTGGATCTGTGAATACAGACAGCCCTTGAGACTTGGGCTGCTCATCTGCTCCTAAGCCTCCACCCCCACCCACCCTTTTATAGCAGAGACAGAGACTGCCCACAAAGAAAAGACATTCTCTTTTTCTCATGGTCCTATAGCTAATCAGAGGTGGATTCAAGAGTGGAAGGCAGCCTGGGTGGCTCAGTGGTTTGGCACCTGCCTTCAGCCCAGGATGTGATCCTGGAGACCTGGGATTGAGTCCCACATCGGGCTCCCTGCATGGAGCCTGCTTCTCCCTCTGCCTGTGTCTCTGCCTCTCTCTCTGTCTCATGAATAAATTAAAAAAAATTTTTTAAAAAGAGTGGACCCAAGGTGCCTGGCCTCTGTGCAGTGCTCCTTCCAACAGCAGAAAAAGGAGAAGAAGAAGAAAAAAAAGGCTTTGGACTTTCCTGTTCCATCAAGCTTAAATGAGCATTGGCCACATCGTCCTTGTGAATCAAGGAACACATGTGGCAATCAGAATTATTTACTGCCTTTATTAGAGTGTCACCATAATTGTCCTAGAATTGATTGCAAGCTTTCCGCCTTCCCCTGCTCCATGGATTATTAATATGACCTAACATTTAACAAGTACTAATAATGTGTGGGTGTCGCTCCAACTGCCGGAGGTTGAGCAGAGCCCTGAAAAGCACTTGGTCTGCCAATCTTTTTGATGCATGTCTCTCACCAAACCTTTTTCACAGGGTGTGTATTATGCTTTTGTTGCTGGATTTTTACCCTTTTTGGTTGTGGTTGGTGTTCGTTTCTTAGGATTTCCTATCAATATTCCCTTACAGATTTACAAAGCAGAGCCTCAGAATATGTAATATATATTTCAGGCAGTTCAATGAGTTGATCATGACCTTTGCTTGTGTAAGTACCCTGTTCATATATCAATAAATCTGTTGCTGCTCAATGGCTGCTGTGCCTTGAAGGATTCAGCCATTTTAAAAATTGTTTTTTATGTTTATTGTATTGGACTCAACATGTCAGTTGGAAGTATCTACACTGATGATTGAAATGCCTGAGTGCCATTTTGCTTTTCCAGTTAATCAGCCACCCAGGAGTCCACTGCACCAAGCAGACTCTTACAGATTCAATTGCTCCCCGCCCCGGCTCTCCATGAAGCCTATCAACTATGGTTCCACAGGAATCAATATTCAGGGATCCCTGGGTGGCGCAGCGGTTTAGCGCCTGCCTTTGGCCCAGGGCACGATCCTGGAGACCCGGGATCAAATCCCACGTCGGGCTCCCAGTGCATGGAGCCTGCTTCTCCCTCTGCCTATGTCTCTGCCTTTCTCTCTCTGTGTGTGACTATCGTAAATAATTAAAAATTTAAAAAAATTAAAAATTCAATGCACTGTGATAAGTAGGGGTATCAGAAAGCATAAGGTTATAATCCCTGCCTTTTGGAAGCTTGCAGCCTGCTCTGGGAGATTACAGGGGAAAGATCAAAACCAAACTAAAAACAAACTAACCATCTCAGCTGGAACATAGAAGCTCTAGACATATGGCTTAGACTGCAAGAGAGGGCTTTCGGGGGGAGAGCAAGGTAGAAATGAACGTTGGGACTAGATTATCCTCATTATACTTTTGTTTTGAATTATAGAATCTCTGTTGTCTTAATTTCTGTTTCTCTGGGATCCAAGAAATGGCAAAAATTTCCGGGGATATCTTTTTAAGTTCGTCACTGTCTTCCAGGAACTTGTTCTGTTGTCTCCTGGGATGTAGGTCAGCAGCCTGAGCTAAAGAAACCCACTTGGGTTCATCCTGGAATTTGACAGATCTGAAGAATGATTTCTATTTTCCATTATGTCCTGTGTAGATTCAGGTAGGAACAAGTCTCCCTTCCCTCCTTGGACGGCAAAGTTAGCTAGCATATCCATGTGAAATGATTATTTCTGTGTATTACCACATTCATTGTCCTTTACTCAGAAAAAATGTCACCTATCCAAATATTGTATTTTCAAACATAAAAGAAATCATTTTCCCTTGTTTGGTTTCATTTTCCCTAAATTATGGCCTTATTATCACATAAGCAAATACAAGTTATGGGCAGCATGAAAAGAGGGACTAAAATTCTGTTGTTGAAGTTTTTGTGGCGTGTTACTTCAATTGGCTAAGGATCAGGGAAGCTCTTGTGAGCAGAATGTGATCAAAACTCGTGAATTTAAAATTGTTATCATCTTCATTGTTAAAGGTAATATTTAAAAAATGAAAATCCAGTATTTGGATAGGTGACAATTTCTCTTCTCATTGACTCATTTCATTTGCTTGTAATTTTTCTTTTGTAGTCATAATGTATATTTTAGGATCAGAATTATTTTAAAGCTACAGTGAAGTCTGGGAGAGCTTCTAATCTAGCCTCTTCATTTGGCAAATGAAAGACCCAAAGACAAGAGACATTAAGGGACTGACTGAAGCTATACAGACAATTAGTGGAAGCCCTGAGATGAAATTGTAGGTGCCCTAAAAATGTTAATTATTGCCACAGACGAAATCCTCCTTTGACATACAAAACAGAAAACAACTCAATAGACTATGCATTGCCTCTGTGATCCCACCTTTACAAACTGGTATTCGAGGACCTTTTGGACATTGTACATGTATCAATATGATGACAAATTTCTAAGCCTCTAGAGTTGTCCCTCTTCTGTGGACCTTCCCTGGATGAGTTCCAGGTATGGCACTATAAACAAAATTTTCTGATGATTAATTTAATATGCTTAAAATTTTCTGAGTTTTTATAATGTAATGTTAATAGATGTATTCGGTGTATTTTGAAAGTCAAGGTTAACTCTGATCTTTTCATGTGTCATTCATTGCCTGTGTTCTATGATGCATAATCTATAGGAACCTATGGAAATTACTTAAAGAGGAGGCTGTAAAATTGGCTTGTTTTGTCAATGAGAAAGGCCTAACACAGAGAGGTTCACCTTCTGAAGTTGCTTAATGCAGTCTCTTCTGAAAGCAGAGAACCAGTTTAGATGAACTCAAAGATCTCAGGCACTTTAATCTCTAGCTGAATCATTAAATGTAGTAAATACTTAAAACCAGTTGCAATTTACAGACTTACTTGTCAACATATTCAACTAGATCTGTAGAATTCTTGGTTGACATTGTGGCGGGAGATAATCTTACCTAAAACAAAGGTCATGGGTTTAAAATGTATCATTAGCTTACTTTATAGGTAAGTCTTATCTATCTTATTTTTATATAAATAATTTTAAACAAAATATATGCTGTAGACCATCATTCCAGTCAAACTTGCAATGCCCCATCTGTATTTCTAGAAACTAAAACCAAAATCAAGCTCTAGAAAGATAATAGAGAGTTTCATTTCATAGATTGGTATCACAGTCAGGAAAAACTTTCTGGACAAGTCAAAGCCATGGATTGTTCTTAGAACAATTTTAAGTGGAATATCCAATGATTATCGGCTGAGTTACTAAAGAAGTTTTCACAGAGTGAATTTACTCCAATATGCTAATTTCTGAGGGGAATCAATTACTTTTCAAAAACAAAGTCCAAAACTAGAAAGCTAGTCTACCCAGGTAATTTTATTTTCTAAGAAGCCTGGATATCAGATTATTATAGTAAATGAGAAATGAAAGAGGAGCACAGCTGTGTATATAACTTACTAGTATTTAACATAGCTGGCCATATGAACACTTAACTAATTCAGTAACATGGTACTACTAGAAAGTTCCCCTTGCATCAAAGTTCATAATTTCCCAGCATTTCCAGGAGGAAAGAGACCACCAAATGCACTCACTGTTTGGCATATGCTAAAACTGTTCTAAACTCTAATGTTCTTTATTTTTAAGATCAAAAGCCAGACACAGATTTATGCTTTTTAATATCCCATCACTGAACTGGATTCAGTTAGGGGGAGAATGAGTGGTACTCCTCCTCAGTTTAAAACTTGAACAAAATAGTTTCCTGGGACATTTTTTCTTGGTTTAGTAGAGTAGTTAAGATCCACATACAGAAATCATTCCTTTTGCAAATGCCTAAGGAACTACCACTTCTTACTTCTTAATTTAACATCCAAGAGACTTACTTGGAAAGCTCTCTCCTCCAATAAAACTTAAAAAAAAAGTAAGTCTATTAATAAGGAGCTAATAAATAACCCATGACAATAGGTAGGCTCTCTGATCCTGCCTGCTTGGTGGTGGGCAACCAGGACAGGCTTGAGGCTGCTCAAAATGGAGCCAGTGACTGCCATGATAATGCTTTAGGCCCTCTCTCCCCATTGCTAAGTGGGGTCTGATGCTCTGAAGAGAGGTCTTCCTCTACTGATGGATACACTGATCCACTGAGCACCCAGGGGTCCATGTTATGGAAACCATCCTAACTACCTAGAGAGCATGACTGGGCCTTCTACCCTGGTTTGTGTCTTGACTCCAGTCTCGAGCTGGAAAAGAACTGGGTCCTGGACTGCTGGCCTACTCAATGCCAGCTCTTCCCTTCTCACCCCTCCATGGTGACCCTGGCCTGAGTCTGTCTGTGTTATTCCTTCAAGCAACTGGCTGCTCCCTGGCCTCACATGTTTGACACCTAGTAGCCCTTTTATTCCCTCTTGTGGAATAAAAGACTGAATATTGTGTCCAAGGACATTAAATTACTGGATTATTGTCTCCTTCCCTCTTCTCAAGTGAAGCAGTTGGATATATATATCTTTTACTTTTATATTATTTTTAAATCTTATTTTGAAGACTGTAAATAGTCCTCTAAAAAAAAGCACAGCTACAACTTGCATACTCTTAAAGGAACAAATGTTAAACCTGATAATGGAGGAAAATTTGGAAAAACACAGAAAAGATACAGAAAAAAGAAAATTCTTCTTGCAATCGTACTGTCTAGAGAGAGTAAAAGCTGTTAACACTGAGGCCAACTTGTTTTCTCTTTCTTCTATGCAGTTATTGATGTGTCTAAGAGAGTATGTGAAGTTTTATATCTTCACTAATTGACTATAGGAAGCAGCTCTGTTTCATCCCTATTCCTTCAAGCTAGAATGTAATTATATAACAATTCTCACAAACAACGCGGTGGCTATGAACACCGACTTTTTACATATGTCAGTTTTCACCTGTTTTATAATAATACTTTAAAATGTTGTGTTCCTTTATGGCTTAATTAAGGCCTATAAAATACTTTGACATATATGATCTTCTATAAGGTGGAAGTCATTGTCTTGACTGAAATGCTACTTTAGTGCAGAAAGAATTTAAGATGATTATTTTTAAAGGTGAGGACTCTGAGGATTAGAGAAGTAGCAGACTTACTCAGATAATCTAGATGATGATGATAGTGATTGACTGAGTCCCTTTTACTTGCCATAACCTTTATCTTAGTGGTTCATTCAAACCTCACATCTTTATATGATTGGCCTAATTAGCCCATTTCATAGAAGAGGAAACAGAGAGGTTAAGTAATTGCTGGAAGTTGCACAGCCAGTGTGTGCTACAGCCAACAGAGAGCAAAAATCAGTGCTGGATACTGGGCTAGCTTTCCAGTTCTCTTTTTATCACCAGAGGCTGCATCCCTGGTGAGGTCTAAAAAAACTGCTGCTTTGAATGTTCTTTTTCATTAATGACAGGTACCAATAAAAGAAACCTCTTTAGCTGTTCTCTTTTCCATTTGACAGATAAAGCCTCTATCTTGAATTTATCTTAGTTTCTTTTGCATCTTCATAGAAAATATTTATCAATTTTTTGTTCTTACTTAGCCCTGCAGATTAAGTCAGTCCAACGAATGTATTCACAAATTGAGACCCTTTCTCTTTTCAGCTCACGTGGTCATCAGTCACTTTGTCAAAGCAGAGCAAACAGGAAATGTAGGTAGAGTGAAAAGAAAAACAACTCTTCTAGGACTCCTTAGAATTCTCTGAACAATGCTAAGCTTTAAAGAAGCTGAACAAAATATTCTACTTTTGCTATGAACGTCTAAAAGTACTTGCTTTCTTTTCTTGGTCATTGACTGAGCCGGGAAGGGGGCCATCAGTTTTCTTCGGCTGTTCCTCTGGAGTCTGGGAGGCACTTTTGTTTACATCTGTATCTAGGCAACCAGAATGCTGAATCAGATCAGGAACTAAGGCAGGTGAATTTTTGCGGTGGTGGTTAATTTTCTTTTCTTTTAATTAAGGGCATTTTCCGTACATACAGTGAAGGTTAAGGGAGGCTTCTAATTGATTTTGCATTCCTCTCTTCTTCTCTCCCCTACCTCAGTTCTTCACCAGGCCCCCATCACACCCATCACACCCATCAGCTAGAAGGATTTATTGTCCCAGAAGAATTAATTGTCCATTAAGAATTTAGGAAACTTTGTTGAGATGCACATTTAGATCAAATTGTTATAAAATAATAGGAAATGATTTCTCACTCTATTGTGCCCAAGCCATCCAAGGATCTTGTTTGGGATTTATTACCTAGTTTATATGTAATAAGAAATCTAAATAAGCCTGTAAAGGATGAGAATCTAGAGACCTTGGGTAATCCATGAGATAAATACCTGAGTTCATGACGCTTGATTTCCTGGCTTTATTTTTTGTTGATCTGATTTTTTTGAAAGGGAGCAAGAGGGTTTTTTTAAATTATTATTTTGTCTTCCAGAAAGCCAAAGCTCTGAGGAAATTTGGTTGCAATCTGACTAAAGTCTTTATGTTTCTGGGTCATCTTCCCAGGGTGGCTCAGTAGCATTGTGACTGTAGGAAGGATCTGTGATGTCAGTGAGGTTGGCCCTCACATTTTAGGTCAAGTCCCTGGGATTTCAGAGCTTTAAGAGTTTTTCTTAGTGCTCAATAAATCACTAGGTCCTTCACCTCCTGGTCCCGCTGGGTGGGTGGGGGCGGCTAGACTGACATTTCACACCCTTCCCCTGATTTTGCCTTCACATTTGATAGGAGACCAATTTCCATCAAATTAGATAAAGAGAGTGAACGGCAATGAACTCCCCGATCATTCTCCCACTGAGCTCGTTCAGGAAGCTGACTCTTGTGGGCCACTAGGGGGAGTCTCGCAAAGAATGCAGCCACAGCGACAGGTGTGGTGGGTCCTGGCTTTGAATGAACTAAAATACTGAACTTGGGCTTTGTAGAGAAAACTTTGGTTATATGGTAAAAAAGATGTTGATTGTTTCAGCTCTGAAATATTTTCCTGAGTTCTCAAATTGGAATCTGCATATTTTGGTAATACTACCTGGCCCTCGTATACAGACATTTTATTATTGGTTCTTTTTCAAATCATGGTGCCAGGTTTGCCTTGCTCTGGGGACATGTAATGTTCAGGATTCCAAATGACAAACTTAGATGCCACAGAAAAATACCGCCTGTGATTTTTTGCTTCAGCAGTATGACTTCTAGTGATAAGCTAAGCTCTTCAGACTTGGTATTTCTTGGTTTGTAAGCTATCCAGAAAGGCTCATTACACCAACCTGATGACCATTTAATCAAGCACCAAAGGAGACTGGCACACCATGAGTGACAGCAAGTGGCTATGGATACCAAGAGAGAGTGGGTTAGAACCCTGACTCCTCAACCAACTGGTTGTTTACTTAGGGAAAAATTATCTCACTCCAAGACTCAGTTTTCTCATCTGTAAAGTGAACGAATAATACTGATCTCCTGAGATCGTTGAGAGGATTAAATGTAATGATACCCTTAAAGTGCTCAGCTGAGTGCCAGGCCGAGAATCCACTAAAAGGTAGCTATTATCAGGGATTATTTCACAAGGTGGCCATTACCCAAGAAATAGCTACAGGGGCTGTGTGAGAAAGGAAAACTGGATCTGACCTTGCTAAGAAAAATTTTGTGATTCTCTCTCTCCTTAAATTCAGCTTCTAGTGCATAGCATTTAGCTAGAGAAATGGACTCCCAGTGAAATGAGAATTGAACTTGTTCTCTAAGTGGTTGCTTGGTTATCAGCAGAACAGTGCACACAGTTTATTTGTACCAGTGGGTTCCTACCTGCAGAGTGTGTATGTAAAATCCTTCCTGGAAGTCGGTAATCTTCCAAGACCTCTTCTAATCCGTACCTACCAAGAATAGAGCTTAAAGCGAAAGGCCAATGTTTATTTCAATCTTAAAAATGAAATTATATTCTGATATTACTTTAAATATAGGCTTAAGGAGATAATCGTGAGGTGGTAGTCATTGAAGGGCTTTGGTGAGTGTTTAGGGTCAGTTGAGACCATTGCTGTGTGTGGTGCACTACACAACCCCAGGGGGTGCCTTTCACATAACAGCCCTGTAGATTTTCATATTTATGCTGAGTTTTCCAGCTTTATGTCAAGAAAATACCTTATTCTAACAAGCTAAGTATATCAGGACAGTTTTCTGATATGTGGAAGTAAAGGGTCTTAAGGAAGGGGCACCTATTTTTTTTTAATATGTATGTATGCACATGTTCATTTGAGAGAGAGAGTGAGCACACAGGAGAGCATGCACAAGAGAGAGTGGGGGTGGGGGGGGGAGCAGAGGGAGAGGGACAACAGACTCTGTGCTCAGTGCGGAGCCCGACTTGGGGCTCACTCCCATGACCCTGACATCATGACCTGAGGCAAAATCCAGAGTGGGCCACTTAACTGATCAAGCCACCCAAATGAGAGGACGCCTATTTCTAACTCACCACAGAAAGTGTATATGGGCCAGGGGCAGCCCAGATCCAGGGTGTCTGGCAAATGCCATGACCTCAGCTAACGAGCTTCAACCAGCCCTAGGCCACAGCGACCAGTAGTCATTGGCAGAGTGTGTCCTGTTCAACTTCCTTTTCCTATACGTCACCTCCGACCTGTTCTCCCGAGGGTCCTTAGACCATCCTTCCTGGAAAGACTTCATTTGGACCAGAGGACCTTCCCTCTTGCTATTCCAGTTTTACCTGCTTCAGTCTTCTAGTCATCTCTGATGTGTTTATCAGTCAACACTTTAGCTAATGTTCCTCAATGTCCAGCTCATGAATCTTCTGAGGAAGGCAGTGTAGACACAAATATCCCAGTTTTACAGATAAAAATATAAGAAGGTTCAGAGACATTAAGTGAGGCACTTAGGTGAATGGTGAAACCCTGACTGACTAGTCCCCAAGTCTGCTCACCCTAAGCAGTGTCCCAGCCCTCCTGGGATAATCCTACTGAGTTCTGCTAAGGGCCCAGTGTTTGACTTCCATTCTGAAGGAGTGCTCAACTCAAAGTGAGTCCCGAATGCTCCCCGCAATTATATTACATTGCCTTTCTACAGGACTCTCCTGCTCTCCTAGATGACTCTCCCATTTTCCCTCAGCCCCCACACTGCCAGCAGTTGCTCCCATCCTCACTCTCAGCTCATGACCTTTCCTTTCTATTTAACCAAGAAAACTGAAATCATCAGAAGAGAATTTTGGTGAGCCCACATGCTACGTCTATAGATCTATGTGTTTCTCTTTCCCTAAATTTTTGTCTCCGATCCTGCTTCAATGAATGAACCACCTGTGCTCCTTAGGCTCATCCCCCAGTTGTCCTTAAGTCCCATTCCCTCTCAACTATCCAAGGACCCCCTCTTCCTTCTTTGCTAGAGCATTCTCATCAGGGTGAGGTCCTAACCTGATAGGACTGATGGTAGTAGAGAAAGAGAAAGGAGGGGCACGTGAGTGGCTCAGTCAGTTAAGCATCAGCCTTTGGCTCAGGTCATGATCCCAGGGTTCTGGGGTCAAGCCCCATGCCAGGCTCCCTCCTCAGTGGGGAACCTGCTGCTCCCTCTGCTCTTTCTCTCTCTCTCTCTCTCTCAAATAAATGAATAAATAAAATCTTAAAAAAGAAAAAGAGAAGAATCTCAATCACTCTCCATCTCTGCACACACACACACACACACACACACACACAGGTAGGTGAGGACATGATGAGAAACCAGGTGGAGGGGCCTCACCAGGAGCCCAATCTGTCAGCACTTTGATCTTGGACTTACTAGCTTCCAGAACTGTGAGAAATTAATTTCTGTCATTTATGCTGCAGAGACTATGATATTTTGCTAGAGCAACCTGGGCAACTAGGATTGTCTTGAATCACCAGGATCGAGTTTTCTGTCCCAGGCACCTTCCCCTAAAACTGCCCTTGTCAAAGTCCCCTGTGACTTCTCTGTTGTGTGTCCAGGGGCCAGCTCTCCGTCTTCAAGTCACTTGCCCCATCAGCAGCATTTGACCAAGTTGAGGGCTATCTTTTCCTTCAAGCTCGTTCCTTACTTGGCCCCCAAAGCCACGTGTCTCCCACAGCTCTGCTATTCCTTCTCATGGGTTTCTCATTCATCTCCCTGACCTCTGAGCAGGGGATCGATGATTTCAGTTTTCTCAGAGTTTTCCTGAAGGTCCCATGTACTGGGAATCCTCAGCCCCTGAGCTTAGCCCTTGCTCTTCTATACTCACCACCTTGATAAGCTCACCCAAACTCATGGCTATGAGCTGGTGATCCCTCAGAGCTCCTTTCTCTCAAAGCTGCTGCCCATACAGCCTTCCCTATCACAGTAAGTGGCGACAGCCTTTTTCCAGTAGCTCAGGCCCCAAGCCTTGGAATTCTCCTTCGCTTCTCTTTCTTTCAAACCCAGTATTTGCCCCACCTTCAAAAAATATCCAGAATGGGTCACTTCTCATTGCTTTTTGTGCTGTCACACTGGTCTAAAGTACCCTTGTTTCTCCCTTGGACTATTGGCTTTCTAAAACCAATCTCCCTTCTACCGAACTTGCCACCCCTAAATTATTCTCAATGAAATAGCTGATGATATGGTCAAAGAGCGATCATGAAACTTGTCTGCTAAAAATCCTTCGATCACTTTCCATCTTGTAAAAGATGAAACCTTCATAATTTCTACAAAATCTTTTTGAGCCCTATGTGATAGAGCCCTCCTATAGCCATCTGACCTCGTGTCCTACATCTCTTTTTCTTGCTTACTCTCCTCCATCCACAGAGGCCACCTTGAACATGTGGGCAGACTCTTGTCTCAGAACTTTCGATCTTACTGCTGCCTCTGCTTAAATGACCTGTGAAAAGTGCTGGTGGTATTTTGATAGGGGTCAAATGAAATGTGTAGATTGCTTTGGGTACTATAGACATTTTAACAATGTTGGTTCTTCCAATCCATGGGCATGGAACGTCTTTCCATTTCTCTGTGTTCTCTTCAATTTCTTTCATCAGTGTTTTATAATTTTCAGAGCATAGGTCTTTCACCTCTAGTTAGATTCACTCCTAGGTATCTTACGGTTTTTGGTGTGGTTGTAAGTAGGATTAATTCCTTGATTTCTCTTTCTACTGCTTCATTAGTGGTATATAGAAATGCAACAGATTTCTGAATGTTGATCTTATATCCTGCAACTTTACTGAATTCGTGTATCAGTTCTAGCAATTTTTCAGTGGAGCCTTTCAGGTTTTCTATATAGAGTATCAAGTCACCTGCAAATAGTGCAAGCTTTACTTCTTCCTTGCTAATTTAGATGCTTTACTTCTGATTGCTGAAGCTGGGACTTCTAGTACTATGTTAAATAACAGTGGTGAGAGTGGACATCACTGTCTTGTTCCTGACCCCAGAGGAAAAGCTCTCCATTTTTCCCCATTGGGGATAATAGAATG